TCCTTTTCTTTAGCTTTACTTTGTCACGGACTTTCTTCTTGTGTTTCCTATAAAAACTGCTTGTCACTGGGAAGCAGCATAAACTACACAACAAGCTTTTCCAAGATGGTTAGAGAAGCGCTAAGTTCAGACATAAAAGCTAATCTTTCAAAATGAGTGTATAACTGAGTGTAGAATATTGTTGTTTTATAGCCGTTCATCTTATTATTCACACCTCAGTGTATGTATGTATGTATGTATGTATGTATGTATGTATGTATGTATGTATGTATGTATGTATGTATGTATGTATGTATGTATGTATGTATGTATGTATGTATGTATGTATGTATGTATGTATCTTAAATGAAAAGACGTTTATCACTTAGAGTAACTTTGGTAATTATTTAGCTGAATTTCTTTCTAGTTCTTTTTCTTCCGAGGCATTAAATTTTTCAACTTCTTTTTTACTGCATAAAAATAAATGCAATCTTACACAAAATATGTGCAATCAAAAAAGTTGTTTTGATTTGATAACGTTTAGTAATGAGCAAGAAATTCGGTAAAATGGCACCAACGAGCAAATATTAGTTTATTCCATAGCTCCTCTGCAAGGCACTGCTTGTACACATTGGTTCGGTCGAATATGTCGATTTCAACTAATCAATTTCAATCAGAATAAACAAGTTATCACCCGTGACTGTATACGTGAGTGATGTTTAGGGATATTGTAATACACGTTGGCATTTACTATTAAGAGCACAAGGCTATTCAAGCTGATACACGGATTTTGCCCATGCACCTGTCATCTGTACTGGAACTGTTGTTGATAAAAACTAAACTTCAGTTTAAAGTTTACTGTAGAACTATATTAAGAGTGTCTCTCTATGATGCAAATCAATTTGCCATTGTACTGTTCTGCCTGGAACCATTTGAGACCCTCTCAGCAGAGCCCCTTTGGCTGCTATAGTTCTTTATAACCATTGACAGCGGCATTACAATGAAGCGCGCAATATCACAAGTAGCGAGAGAGAAGACACAAACTAATAACTCTATTTGTGTCTTCTCTACCTCTCCGTGTTTTTTTGCCTTGCTGCATGCAATAACTCCTACCAAATTAGCACGAAAACTTGTCCGGACAAAAGCAGTCAATTTGGCAGCAATCAGTTAGCTTCCTGCATGTCTAAATTTTCTTCAAATCATCTTGATGACTGACCGCTGGTCGAATATACAGACACACGAAAAGTAATATACCATGTATGATATTGGTATTTCGGCACTCGGAACTCTTGCAATAATAGGGGATGGAGGGGGACAATATGGACCTTGAATTCTGTAATTCACAAGGGAGCACGGCACAGCGCTTTTGGGTCAAAAGGGGAGTAAAAGAAAAGAGTGCAAAAGCCACCTTCTCAAGAATTAAGTACCCACCGCAACGCATAACCTCAGGCCTGGCAACATGTTAAAAGAAGTTCTCGATGGCACTGCAAATCGAACCCAGCACCACCTAGATTGCAGTTGAACGCTGTAACCGCTCGTCTACTCCTTCAGCACTTGCGATGAGAGCTTGCCACTGCTGCATTTACCCGATTGTTAATATATTGTCCTCCCGAATGATGCCAAATGCACAACGTCAGGTGAAACTTGGTCAAAAATAGAAAAAAATAATTAGAATGCGTTCTCCCAAGGTTATTAAAAGGTAGAAACCACCAAGCGTGGCTGTTTAACCATGCACTATTTATCTTGTAACTTACTGTCATGATATTGGGATAGCAGGCTTTAACATAGCCTACCTTCACATAATTTGCCAAAAGTAAATAACAAAATAAAATTATGTTGACGTATGACAACGCTAACAAACTATCTTGAATTCACTGTCACTACTGTCACTTTCACTAAATGAATACTCAATTTGTTTTCATTATAGTTATTTAAGAAAACTTTTTCTCATCAGCTCACAACTCCTTTGATTGGCAATGATTCTCACATCTAAAGACAGTCACACTTCATCTCGCTATCTGTGTGGCTGTCGCTCCTAGAAAACACGTCGATCACTTTGTTATGATCTCCAAGCATCTGACGCTGCTTTGAGGAAGCTATCCATGATGCCTGCTGGGCCAAAAAATCGTCTTTATTATCTATCACTTCGATTTCAGGCTTTCGCGAAGACGAAACGAGAGTCTCTCTCTGTGTGTGTGTGTGTGTGTTTGTGTGTGTTTTGTTTTTGTCTTTTTCGCGCGTGTGGTATTGTCTCTTGACTCGAAGACTCGTATGTACGCCCCTTGCTTTATGTTTTTCCCTCAAACACCACTGGACGAAGTAACTGCACCATGTTTTGTGAAAATCGTTAACACGGAAACACCCCCCGACTGACCTCCCTAGTTTTACGTAGACACACATCTAAGCGTAAGCGTACACACGTTCTCGCATCCGGCTTTACCAAAATGCTGTGGTGCATGGAACCTGTCGAATTGCGCTCATGATTTCACTTGATTACTTCGGTTTAATATTTCTGCAGAATTCGTCCACAGGCAAAAAAGCCACTCTTGTGCCTTGTAATAAGATTATTTTAAGAAAGGCGACCTATTACATCTAGCCGCAAAACACCCTTACGGTCACCACTACACCGCGTTTGGTTATGCTGAATTAGTTGTGTAGCCACACAGCTTTATTAAAATGTAAGTTTACTGGTCGAGTTAAACAGCGGAAGACATTTAGGGCACATCTTCAAACATTGCATGCATCAATTCGTGCGCGGTTTCAGTGATGTGGTGCACCTGGAGTGTTGTTCACTTGTACTAGGCCAGATAGCGTACGGATAATTGCTTAAAGCCATAGAGCGATTACTTTTTTTTTAGCTACGGTCATTGAGCCCCGCCGCGGTGGTCTAGTGGCTAAGGTACTCGGCTGCTGACCCGCAGGTCGCGGGTTCGAATCCCGGCTGCGGCGGCTGCATTTCCGATGGAGGTAAAAATGTTGTAAGCCCGTGTGCTCCGATTTGGGTGCACGTTAAAGAGCCCCACGTGGTGAAAATTTCCGGAGCCCTCCACTACGGCGTCTCTCATAATCATATGGTGGTTTTGGGACGTTAAACCCTACAAATCAATCAATCATCACTCAGCTACGGTCATTGATGAAACGCGAGCGCTTGGCTTTGAGCAGGACACCCAGACGTCTATTACTACGCAGCATCGCGTAAGCGCTGTATATCAGACGCCCGCAGAACTGGAAGCTAGGAGGCAGCAAACCATCGTATACTCTCGACGATAGACGCTTTGCGTGCTACCTTGCTATCATAGGAAAACACCTCTTTCCTTGTCATTTCAACGGTTTCGTGTGTCCTCCTCGCCCTCATAAGTGCCGAGCAAGCTATATTCGTACCATTGCTACCGTAATACCTCGAGATAAGAGAATTCTTGGCTAAGAAAATGCATAGCCAAGAGAAAGCTTTGTGAATACGGCCCCTGGCAGATTCGCATGAACTGTGTGTATGATGCCAAAGCATATGGTTCCTCTGTAAAGCTCTATCAAGGCATAACCATGGTGCGCTGAACAATTCTCAGCATCACGCCATAGAATTGCCCCTTTTTAAAAGACGATAGTCTTTCTTGGGGACCTTCAAAGCAAAAATTTTGGTCTGTCTGTCTGTCTGTCTGTCTGTCTGTCTGTCTGTCTGTCTGTCTGTCTGTTTGTCTGTCTGTTTATTTGTCTGTTTGTCCACTTTTAACGGCACCAGGTACTTGAAACAGCCGACCCAATCCGCAGCGCCCACCAATGTTGCTCAAGATTTAGCGTTCATGATTGTGCAATTGCCAAAAAAAAAAGCAAATATTTCGCATGTCTGTGGCACCATAACAACACGCCAATATTATGTATGTGTATTTTTTTACTAGAAAATGCATGCATAAGTAATTTTTGAGAACCGTAGCGCTTATCACGCTGCGCTGACCATGCAACGCTTACACGAAAAGGCAAGTGTTTCTAGCGCTTTTTTAAGACGAGACGGTGGTGGCCCCTACCCGTCACCTTGCGTTCTACACCTAATCACCTCTGAGACGGGTGCGCATACCGGCCTCAGAGCCACGCACTTCGTTTTCCAAGAAAACTGCCCGATATTGCTTATGTCTCACGTGTGACGTGACTTTATGTGCTCGTTCGCGTCCGCTGCACGCTCGAGACACTTTAACGCAGCGCCTTCAGAATACCATTCACCGACGTTCTTGCTCAGAACATCAAATAAATGTTTTGTTCACTCTCTCCACACGCAAGACTATCATCTTTCAACGACATTTATAGATGAACATGTAGATACGGGGCCAATTGTTTGTTAGTTCCCTCGTACCCACATGGGTGATCGCTCTCGATTATGGCACACACTCACATTATATAGTTTCGTGAGTGCTCAGCACTGCGTAACCTATCGCGGTAGTTGCGAGTATCGAACTGCATAGAACTTTCCCATGTATCGAACTGCATAGAACTTTCCCAAGCACGCGTGCTAACAGCGTTTTTTTTTTTTACTTTTCGCAAGAACGACGGGGATAAGTGTGGGCATAGCCATACAAAAAAAAAAGAAGTTTCAACCAAGTGCACAAATTCTGAAGTCGATGGGTGCCCTCGGCACTTGTGCCAGGGATCAATTATATAGGGAGTCAGATAATCCGAGGTCACGAGACTCATCGACGCAGTGTTTCTTAATTTCAGTAGGACTGAAGCCAAGAAGCTTGCATAGTTAAACCAATGTTTGATCAGGAGATATATCATATGGCGTGCGCCCGTTCGGACAAATTTCAAAGCAGCATGCAGATGACTGTCTTTGGCATGTGATGAGACAGCACAAAAATGCAAGGACAAAATCATCCCCCTTCCCAATTCTACCGTATTATCTCTGTATCGAGAAATAAAATAATCACTTGAGCTTCAAAAACATTTGATAAGACAACATAGGTATTTTATGAAAAAGATGCGGGTGGTTTTCTTTATCATTGTTATAAAGGAAGAAGCTGATTCCATGCACTCACATTTGAACGCCCACGTCTCGCCATTTCTCAGGGCTAGGGCTGTCTTTAGAAGGCCCAACTTGCAATCGGTGCTGACCATCGGATGCTTGTGGATGTACTTCATTAGAGGCCTTAATTTTGGTTCGAGGGCAGCGAAAGCGCCTTCCAGGTCGGCGTTCAGGTTTCTCCTCGTTGACTTCGGCAGTGCTGTAGTAGTTAGAGTCGAGGTCGTTGATTCATTCCACTCCACTGTGGATACTAATGGTGACGAAGTTACCCACTGAAGACATGCCGTCAAAAAGCAGGCTGTCTGGAAATTGAAACTCATGGGTGCCGATAGAGAAGAGTGCTCTCTCGATGTGAGGCTGGGCTCGAATAACGCGAAAGCTCCCAACGGTTTTCCGAAACGTCCGCACAGAAAGCGGTTTCTTCAAATGCAAGCTCTTTGCTTCCTCGTATTCTTCGATGGCCCCTACAGACCGAAAAATGCGTCTGCGATGCTGACGTGTGGGAGTTGTGCCACCTCGGGCTAGACGTTGTTGTATGCTTAGCAAACTTCCTTGAGGGCTCGACAGTCGGGCTCGAAGCGGGCGTCTACAAGCTCGAATACGCGTTTTTGGTGGTTTACACTTCATCATGCACAGTGGGGCCAGTCCGAGGCAAATAGCCGCATACACACACCTAGCGAGAGTCACGCCAAATACGACAGATGACAGGTATACGACAGCCTATTCTTCAAGGAAAGAAACTTTAGTCCTTGGAAGCGTATATCTAGTTTGTGCGCGAGCGCAAACAATTCTGAAGTAACTCCTTTTATACCCGAAAATGCAAGCAGTGAAAAAAAAAACGAATACGCTGGATAACGTGAGAGTGGAAGTTTGAGATCTCTCAACTGCAGTCAAAATTTTTCGCATACCTGCAGGAGCCAGTAAACGCTGCTCTTTTTAAATTTCTTATTGGGGTTGCGGGCCGCGCCTTAAGTAGCGACTATTAGTACTCATTTTTCAGACGTTAGTTTCAAAGCTTCTGTGTTGTGTGAGCACCCGTTTTAATCGACATCCACCCACATGAGCTGTCTCTCCTAAACACTTTCATTTTTTTGCAGAAGTGCAATATCAACCAGCGCACCTATCTGCAGTATTCAACAGTCTAGTTCACACTGCACAGAGAGTAAGTTGCCATATGTGAAGGTTATGTGATAGAAGGTAATGGTATGAAATATACGGTGGTATTTCGTTAACACTAACGCCGATGAAAGTCATCTCATCATTCTTCCTTGCATGTTCACTCGCTTGCGATCCCGTAACAAACTTTTTCTTACAAAGCCAGTGAACATGAACCATTTAATTCCAGTTTTCCATTGAAGAATTTATTCATCGTCGTGCCCCTCCCCTCCCGAAATTGATATGGTGTAAGTATGTCCAGAAATTCTGGACATCAACAATTAGCGCTAGCTGTTGGTTTCGCTGCTAAACGGCTTTGTCTCTCAATGGGAGACGACAATTAAATATTTATTGCAGCCGAACGCTTGAGTATATGCTAAAATTACTCGGTATATATAATCTGCGCGTAATTATCTCATAATCAGAGAAAATAAAGTTAGCTTTATTTCTATGAAATTGCTGGGTTAGAGAGCGACGTTTATGTGCTATGAGAGACTCCACTGGAGAGAATTTCAAAAATGTTTATAAAAACAATTATCCTTCATCTCCTTATATCATTCAAGTTGCAAAATCTTTACGACTTTGTCATCGCACCTGTGAACTTTGGTTGATATCGGCAAAGTTTCTGAAGTTCGACACTTTTGTAAACACGTGTTTTGCAGTGAAACTTCCTTGCAGGGGCACACGTAGTTGTTGCGCTTTCGGTTACTCCAAAACGAGAAAAATAATTGCAGCTCTTTTATGTAAGGTTGTTTTTCTTGAGGCTGCTCAATATGCGCAGGGTATTCATACTGTGTAGTTCTTATGTTGATGATTAACATTAACACGGGTTCGGTAATATAGAGTAAACGATCAAAGATAAGAATAGCTCGTTGTCATTCAAAGTAAGAAGTAACAATCGACAAGACACATTGATATACATATGAATTTTTCTCTCATATTCACAGGAAGTAATGGTTCTGTTTAATGTAACAATTAATTAAAATATATGTGGGAAAACTGTCAGCATAGTAAGAGATAATAAAGTTATATTTATCGGTAGTATTGCTATGTACCCCATTATTACTTGACTATTGCTGCATGTAAGTAAACAGCAGTAGAATTTGTTCAATGGTTCGGAGTAAAACAGAATAAGCTGAGAAGCGAAAAACGTTACTGTGTAGTTGAGCCTGTTTCCACGTTTGTGCTCTGTAAGCGTATTATCGTTTATCAGATCCCTCTTACACGTGGAAATTCATACGTGGGGCAGAGTGGCCGTCACATTATTGTGCGTTCAAGAGAGTACAGGAATTCGCTCAGGGATTCGAACACCTTGCATCTGGCATCGCACTGCAGCACATGTGGCTGTTCATCTGTCTTTGCCTATACAAAGGTTTTGTCGAAGCACCGATCCCAGATAACTCGGGAAGTGACAGAGGCTCTTCGTGTTAAACGAAGGTATGAAGCGTGCGTCAGTGAGCCATCGTTATATCTCACAGAAAAAGAGTTCGCATGTTTTCTGAAAACATGTGCCGTCAATTGATACTCTATGAAACTGTTTATACTCCTTTTTGACACTTCTGCGCAATGCTGATACGTTTTTTTCATGTTTTTTTCATGTTCTTTGGTTCTACAATATGAATTTCAATTGCGTGTCACTGCTGGTTTGTGTCCCTCTTGTTTCCGTGTTCGTCGTTTTCATGCTGTAACCAAAAATTCACCCGTGCAAACAAGCGCAACTTCCCACATGATTGCATTTTAACTGGAAATGTATTTGCATGCTGCATAAGGCGCACACTCTGAAAAATTATACCTGGGTTTGTTAGTCGGCATCGACTAACGCTCCAGGGTTAAAATGCACATATATATTACATACAATAGACGGGGTGATCACCCCGGCTTTAGCTCGGTTGGTAGAGCACCGGAAGCGTAGTTTGGAGGTCACGAGTTTGGTCCCTGCCCTTGGCAAATTATCTTTTCGTTCACCTTTTTTGTACATAGTTACATTAGAAGCACCATATATACTAACACTCCTTATACGTTTCCTTACATCATCTTGTGTTAGTTTTTAGTCACTTAAGGCACTTGTTTCCATCACGAAGAAAGACAGTTGAGATGGTGCCTTGTTGAGCTAAATCTTGAATAAATATAGCTTGTTCATTTGTGGAATTTCTACAAGATAACACGTGTATTGGGCACAGCACGTAAACCACGTGATGTGAGTAGAAGCTTCTTATTCACAAAAACATTTCTTGACACTAGAGTACACCGATTGACGGACTTCTATTTAGCACGCCATAAAACAATTAAAGAACTATAGGCACGCCCGAGCTTCAACTTGAAGAGGAGAACGCGTCAGCCCACTCGAGCTTCGTTCGCTTCGTTTTCACTGTCGCTAGATTCGCTTAATTTCTCGGTGGACACACCCACCCTGCCGCAAGGGAAAGTACACCTGTGCGAGTATGATATGCTGTTTAAAACTATCCGGCAATGTATTCTGTAAGAACACCTGTAAAAGGCTCACTCGGGCATATTTTTTTTCTGAGATCCTGAAGGTTACACGCGCAAATGCATTGCAAAACACTTTGTGTTGCACATAATAATAATTACTTATTCTTGCGCACTTGGGAATAGATCGGCCTTCAAAGCAACTACCCATCGTGCACTTCGAATGTACGATGCTGGTGCGATTTTACATTCTGCCACGCAATATTACATGTGTTATTCAGGCTCCTCGCAGTACAAAACATCATTACAGTTATTTTTTATCGAAACAGCGTAGAACACGTGTTCTCAGTGCGAAGTATTAGATTAGATTTCCGCTCAAGCCGAATATTCATATTGTTTATTTATTCGTATCTATCTTCAGTTCTGGTCCTTGGGAGAAACTTATTTTCGCTAAGAAAACGCAGCCACCAATGAAATCATGCGCTGTTCTAAAACGTGTGAATGGTGCAATATCCACAGTAACATTTCTCGTTCCCATTAGTGACACCTTTGCTAAGACAACTACTCACTGCTTGTGGTTTATATAATAATAATAATAATAATAATAATAATAATAATAATAATAATAATAATAATAATAATAATAATAATATTAATAATAATAATAATACAAGAGTTGTCATCATGAGTGCAACACAGATAATAGGCCTGTCGAAGCTAGATGGTCGCTTTGATGACTAGGCCCGGCATATTAATAAACGAGAGATGACATATTAAACAGTGTTGTAGGCCCGTGTGCTCAGATTTGGGTGCACGTTAAAGAACCCCAGGTGGTCGAAATTTCCGGAGCCCTCCACTACGGCGTCTCTCATAATCATATGGTGTTTTTGGGACGTTAAACCCCACATATCAATCAACATATTCAACAGCTCGTTACGTAAAATGATCAGGGAAAGAAGACATGTAACTCTTTTATATTACACCTAAACACAATATATTACAAGCATCAAACTAACGGAAGCAATACTACCTAAACAGTAGATTGTTGAGGTAAGAATTGAATAATCTTTCAACAGATTATACCCGGCATGAAAGAGGGTAGGAAAATATTCATGCGATAATTGAGCAGCTATAAAGTGATTTTAGGGCTTTCGTGAAGTGTGTTTCCCCGTTACATGAAAAACACTGCGGGGGGGGGGGGGGGGAGGCCATTAAAACAGCAGGAACCTAAAGCATTCTAATAGATTTGTCATATTGTGTTTTGACAAATGGAACAGAAAAGCGGGAAGTTTTCTCAAGATACGAAGGGCAATGCACTCTTTTTTGAACTCAGTGATTCAGAAGTGCCGTAATACCTCGGTTTGAATAAATGACGCTTTGAAAGACAGCCGGTGAAGTAAAGAAAATAAACTTGCATTGTCTGTTAAAGTACGAATTTGAGCAATGAATTTCAACATGTTTTTCAAAATGTTATCAACCTTACACTGCTTTCTGTAAGAACAGAAAGCAAATATCGTGATGCCATAATGCAGGACACTGTACACAAGAGCAAGCATAATTGTCGCTTAAAATTGGTGGCCGCTACTGATATAATATTGAGAAGTAACCATGCGATTTTCCTTAGTCTGCCACATCTGTAAGCCAAGTGATAATTACAAGACAGGTCACTATCGAACGCACCAACATATTTTACAGGATTAACAAATTCAATGGGAATACACTTACAGGAAACGCCATCACGGCCATGAAGAAATACGGGCGCCATTGTCACTATTGCTTTCAATAAATTTTTAAGCAAATTAGTTTCTTTTTATTTCTGATTAATCACTAAACAGTCATTAGCTAATCATGACGCAGCCTCATGAACACCGTCTTGTAGTAGTGACAACGCTTTATTGTAACATACATGTTTGCGTAAAAGATCAGTGTCGTCTGCGTAATGAAATACGAGGCATTTTGGAACAGCAGTAGTAAAAAATTTATGAATGAAAAACAAACAGATAGGAGATATTATGAATTCTTGTGATACACCAGCTGTAAAGGCAAGCCTCTTGCTAAAAGGCAACCAATTGTCTCTTCAAACTAACTGGAGGCGGTGAGAAAGATAGTTTTTAAGAAAGTTCTAGAACAAACCTTTGAAACCAAGAAAGTATATTTTTTCAACCAGGATAGAATGGTTTACTGTGTCGAATACTTTGAAGATATCCAAAAATAAAGCACAGGCAAATATATTATGTTCTGAAGCATCAGGCAGTTTATTGGAAAATTCTTCAAGTACATCAACGGTACCTCAACCTCCGGCAAAACCAAACTAGCACTTTGAAATAAGCGAACTTTTTTCTAGAAATGAAGTCATGCATAACAATGAAAATTTCTGAGCTATTTGGGATGAAACAGGGGAAACCAATATGATTCAATAACTGGCAGCACTGTCTTTAGGTCCGCCTTTTTACAGGGTCTTTACAATTGCTCTTCTTAAATCAAGTGGCAGAGAAGCTGTTTCCAAGATTCATTAAGCATGATGAGCATGATCTCTGATAATGCGTCCTAATTACGCTGCAGCAAACATAGAGAGATACTATCAATACCTGCTGGTTTTTGCTGTTTGAAACCAGAAACTATTCAAACGAGTTCGTCTTTTCTGAAAGTTGAGAGGAAGGCAGAGGCAGGTATTGATTTATTCATACCATAGTGGCCTGCCGGCGCTGATGATACGTCGCCAGACAGTTGTGCAAAGTGGCGAATAAATGTATTAGTGGTATGTGCAGGATCACAAGAAAACGCATCGATAGGTTTAGCATCGCTACTTTCTTTAGCACAAAGGTGGTTTATCAGTGACCACACCCTTGCCGGATTTCTGGCAGATAACTGTAAGCTGATAGTGAAAATATTGACTTTTTGCCGATCTGGTGAGGACAACCACTTTATTTCTTGCGATTCTGTAGTTGATACCAAGTTTTACATTACCTGAGGAGTAATTCAACCGTTTTCAAAACAAATCTCTTTCAAAAATTGCTTCAAAAATATCTGGGGACAGCGAGCTGTGGCTACATCTCTGCTTAGCCCTTTTAATGCGAGTACAAGAGTGTTACCGCCTACGTATTTTTGTGCAAAACCTATCATACAGTCACCAGGAGATCCAGTAGCAATAAAAGAACACAAATCAAACCATTTGAGTAATGACTCCGATTCGCAATATAATATTATTACAATGATTTCTTTCACGTGCCCAGAAACAACAATAAGGTCTTTGTGCAGGCGCACGCAAAAATAAAATAATAAACAATACAATACAGTCTACAAAACAAAAATAAAGAGAGCGGACACGCACAGACGAAAAGAAATCGGCGCGAAATGGGAAGAATAAAAGACAAGACGAGAATCATGGAGTGGCAGTGAAAAATGAAAGTGAATATAGACACCTATGTGAAAGACTTCCTAAAAATGGATATGGGAACAATCTGCACATTGTGAAAAACTATCTCATGACATTGCAAAGCTGAGATAAAACAATGACAGTGGACTGTGAAAAACATCGAGATCATGAAAGTTAACATTATATAGACTGTAGATTCTGCGAGCAGTATAGTGCTGAAAGAAGCTGGCGGGTACATCAAATGGTCGATTCTATCTGGTTAACTTACACGGAATCCGAAAATTTACCTGAGAAGCAAAGGGCAGAATATCATACCGTGAGCGAGTTTGTAAAGAAATAAAAAGTCAGCGCGATTTAGGCGGCAGTGAAGTGATGGCAATGATGATAATATGGCAGTGTTGGATTGAGATCCAGAGGCTTTCTACCAAGAAACCATGGTTGTAAATACTTATGAATTTTTCCTCGACCCACTCAATCGCGTTACTGCAAGATTTGATTGATTGATTTGTGGGGTTTAACGTACCAAAACCACCATATGATTATGAGAGACGCCGTAGTGGAGGGCTCCGAAAATTTCGACCACCTGGGGTTCTTTAACGTGCACCCAAATCTGAGTACACGGGCCTACACCATTTCCGCCTCCATCGGAAATGCAGCCGCCACAGCCGGGATTTGATCCCGCGACCTGCGGGTCAGCAGCCGAGTACCTTAGCCACTAGACCACCGTGGCGGGGCTCACTGCAAGATTTAGTGACTAATATTAATGAAGTGAAGAGGAACGAACGCTACAGTGGGTCATCTTCTCCTGTGACATGGCAGGACTGCCTGTACCGCGCATTGCTCGAGGGTGCTGCTAATTCGCTTGCAAGGTCCGTTTATTAGAGTCGTTGGTGAAGCTACCAGTCGATCTCTATGCCATAGTGCAATAAACGTTTGAACAGAAACAACAGCAATACAATATACATATGAGAATAATGCCTTTCTGATTATTCATGTAATTACTTTAATAATTTTCGTTGAATTAATGATCGCGTCTCTCATATTCATATGGTGGTTTTGGGACGTTAAACCCCCCATATCAGTAAAATAATAATAATATTACCATGTGTGCCTTTTGTACTGGGTGAGAGGCTTTAAGCCATGAGGTCATTATGATAATCACATGTTCAGAGCTAGTGAGCGAGTGAATAAACTTTTATTGGGCCCAGCAAAACTTGTGATAAATCGTGGGACTAGCCAGGTGCGTTTTAATCACGTGTTCTGACGCCCAATAGCGATGTGCGCTTGTGCCACATTATCACTGCAATATTTTTTATTGTATTGCGAAGCAGAGGACGTGTTTGTTTCCAAGCTGACGAGGTTATTTTCACTATGTTCAGAAGGAGACGCGAGACAGTAGTATAGAACACCCGCTTACTACGCAAATAATCTGGGTTCCATACTGTCACAGACTTTGAATGTTTCTTTATATTTTATTGCATCTTTTTCGAATTTTTGGTCACGCACAAAATGGTTTTTCGCTCACAACCAACGACACCAACACGGGAATTTCAACAAAACGAGCTCTTTAACACTATCTAGACAATAGGTCTTACAAGGTACCCTTTAAGAAACATTACCGCGTAAAAATCTCACCACGCTGTTCTTGAGCAAAGCGCGCCAAGAAAGAATTACACTAGTAGCAGGATGGAAACCCGACGAGCGATATATCTTCAAACTTGCTTATGTGCGTTCTTCGTTCTAAATAAAAGTGGCCGAAATAGCTGGGTATCGAACCAAGACCGGGTGACGCTATGCAGACCACGTTGAAATATCCGAAGCCCTCCACTATGGCGTCTCTCATAATATTATGGTGGTTTCAGGACGTTAAACGGCACTTATTATTTGGTGTGCAGAGTGCATAGTCATTAAAACAAAAAGGTGTGTTTTATGGTTGTGTACATCCAATTATCATCCAAGGTTTTACGACTCAATACCACGACAAGATTATGAATGATGCCATCGTGTAGAGCTCCATAATTTCTGTAATCTGGTGCTCTTTAACATGAACTTACATCGCACGGTATATATACGCACTGCCACCATTTTGCATCCATCGAAATATCGCCTCGGACGCCGGGGTCGAACACGTGGCTTTCGGGTCAGTACCCGAGAACTGTAACCACTACATGACCGCAGCGGACGGTTGGGCATCACGGTCGTAATGAAATGAATATAATTAGTTTCATTACACTTCTATGAACAGTTAGCAAACAGGGGAAGACGAGCTGTATAGCATGTCATGCACTTAATGAAATACACTATTTCGAATAGCTTTTGTTATGTGCTCTAGAAACATAAAGAGGGTTATTTAAATAAAGCGTCTTATTTAAAATGCTCATATTTAGAAGATAATGAAGCAATTTCCTTCATGAAATTAATTTTAGCCTTTCTTTCTGCTTCTTTTCAAACTCTCAGACAGATCGTAACTGGCCGAGAATATGGCACGGCAAGTTGGATTCTGGCTATAGCGGAAAAGAACAAATCGGTTGCTATGTGACGCCAACACATATTAGCAACCTGAGGCTTGTTTTTGCATATTCTCAAAGAGCCATCGCCATCGACTAGGCTAGTGTTTCTCTAAATTAAGTTTTGCAGATTACAAAAACAGCAGCGACGAAAGGACGTGCTAACTTTCTTCGAGGAACCTGTGCTGCCGACTATAAAACCAGACGAAATGTATTGAAACCGATGGCAAGAAGAGCAGCACTCCCTTTCAAAATAAGAGTTCTTCAAGCACATCCAAGTGACTTGTGCGCACGAATTCATTAAAAAAAAACACTTGATTCACAATCGAGCAACCAACCGACCACTTGTCGTACGACTTGCGCTTATCAGTCAGCAATCATGGTTCGCTCTTGCTCGCGATAGTGGACATCCAACTGCCTTTCTTTTTATTGTTGGGCCACTTTGTCTGCCGCGCGGTATACGTTATCGCGCCAGTTTTGAAAGTTGAAGGTCCGTACGCCACGGGGTGTGAAAACGGGCAAACTAAAAGCGATGTCCTGAATTCCTGGCTTTTTTTGCGCCACTGATGGTGACTACTTCTTGAGACCATCAAGCGCCGATGACTTCAACCAACGACAGCGAGCTGATCAGAACTCAAGGGCCTTGTGGAATACCTCAAAGGCAAAGCTCCTATTGTTCCAAATGTATTCAAACGAGCTTGACGTTGTTTGTCTTGTGAAACGACGTCCTCACGAAGAACTCCTCACCACTTTGAGCCAAGTACAGTACCTTCTCCTGGTGACTTCAGCATTGCGACAGGAAATCCTCCAAGCAATATACGGCAACCCAACGGCTGAGCACCTTAATTTTTCTCGCACGCTCGTAGCCCACGCCTTGCCGCCAACGTCACTCGCTACGTAAAGACATGCCGAGACTGTTGACGCAAGACACCGCCAGCAAGGTTAGCAGGCTTTCTTCAGCCTATCGAGGGCCCTCGCCGGTTGTTCCAGCAAATGGTATGGACGAAGTAAGGCTGTTATCGACATCTCATTCTGGAAACGAATGCATCTTCGTAGCTACTGACTACCCCGCCCACTACACTGAGAGACTGCCCATCGACAAAGCACAGTTCTTCATCGAGAACATCGTCCTGCATGACGGAGCCCCAGAGGTACTTTTTACCGACAGAGGTACAGTCTTAACGGTGGATGTAACTGAGGTGATCCTGAAGTACAGCCAGATAGGTCTCCGCCGGACCACCACCTATCACCCTCAGACCATTGGCCTCACTGAGCGTTTGAATAAGACCATCGACAATATGATGGCCATGTATGTCGACGTCGAGCACAAGACGTGCGATGCCATCCTTCCGTATATGACCTTTGCAAACAACATGGCCGCGCAAGAAACGACGCAAATGACACCGTATAGATTAGTTTATGGAAGAACCCCGGCAACAATGCTCAACGCCACGTTACCCAATGTCTCCAAGGACGAAAACATCAACGTCACCATGTATCTTCAGCGCACCGAAGAAGCCCGACAATTCGCCCGTCTGCGCATCCATAGCCAGCAAAAGACCGCCAGCTGTCAATAAAACCTACAAGCTCCTTCGACTATACTTCGGACCATACAGGCCACTTCAACGTCTCGGCGGACTCGACTATGAGGTTCTCCCTGACGGCATTACAATTTTATTGCTTATTGTACTTTCTTGACTTATTATTTTACTTTCATCTACGGCTAAATGGCCACAGACCAAGTTCAAAGACAAGGCCGCAGTTTCTTTCTCGTCTTCACTACACTTCCTATAACTGCTATCTCCCCATCGCCACCTATTTCTTCATAAAACACTTACAGTGTTGACTGATTTGACTGAATGATATATGGGGTTTAAGGTCCCAAAACCCTTGCGATGTCAGCACTAGAGTGTAGGCAAACCGGGAAGGCGACTACATGACAAAACAGGGCAGGTGACGATTCAGGACAAATGTTTCTCGAAAACCAGCCAATCAAGAACTTATTTGATCCCGACGTCACGTGAGCAACAAGCTCAATTATGTCACGAATTTTGCGTCAAAGACGGGAAAAGTCAGGATACAATAAGGCTGATGTTTTTTTAGTATATTTAGAAGTGATTAAGGGGTCCTTGAAAGTATCGACACGATACTTTATTCAGGGGAGGGCAATGCCACACATCTTTCTCAAGTTTTGATATCGGCCCATTACACGTGTAAGGGCAGCCTTGCGCAAACCTAGTAGTTTGGCAGTTTGGGCTCGTTGGTATGACATGACGATAGTTATAGCGCGAGAACAGAATGTCCTTCTTGTTTCTTTGTCGTCGTTCTGTTCTGGCGCTATAACTATCGTCATGCACAAACCGTGTCGAATGACTAAGAACCATTGAGATAATTTTAGAAACTTCCAATGCGATCAGACGCACAACGCGAAAATCACAGTTTCTTCTCGAACTTACGTTGTGGATAGCGATAACCCTGGAATATTCAACGGCACACTTATAAACGCCGATGCGCATCACCGCTTGTCATTTTTTCGTTGACCGACGCTCTGTGCGCCGATGCCTGTGTGGTCTTGAAGACATCAACTGATGCTTTCATCAGCGTCACGACTACGTGACAATATACGCGTTCTGCCGCAGCTATGGTACAGCCGAGTTCCGTCGAGACTCTCCAAGAGCGACGTGTTCACGAGGAAAAACCAAAACAAAAGCATAGGCATTGTTAACGCACCGGCAAACACTAATGAAGATCAGGCACGAAACGCCCAACACACGCCAGGGGTGCTGGCGGTCATTTGTTTCGGTGGGAGTAAGCCCTTGATCTGAAGTGGAGAACCAACGCAGCAACAATATAACATCACCTAGCAACAGCCTAGTAAATACTTAGAAGCAAGCTGGGAACAACCTATATCACCTCTATAGTTAGGCCCTAGAAACAGCCTAGAAGCTGGAGTGGATCCAGCCACTCATTTTAGTGAGGGGGGGGATGGGTGACTTTGGTATCTAGCAGTTGCTATCATCACAAGATCCCCACTACAGTATAAATACCGTCAACTCGTGCCCCCATTGGTTCCACTCTGTGGCCTTAATCAGTGATAAAAGGAGCAAGTGTACGACAGGCTCTATAGGGAAGAGGATGAAATTGCTAACACAGGTCCCCCCCCCCCCCTCTGAATGAGCCACTACCTAGAACCAACCAGATTAATCTTCAGAATTGTTCTGTTTCACTGTTTAAAGTCTTGCGTGGCTTAGTGCAAGCCTCGCCATTTTTTTATTGGTGACTTCCAGTTACGAGCAGGCACTCTGTAGTTCAGGCCACAAAGGTTCCGACAACTCGAAGAATTGTTAGCTCTTCAACAATGTTTCAAGTAGATTATTATACCTTATGAAAGGCAAATAGTTATTCGGGAAAAAACATAATAGCACCCCAATATTTGCAAATTCTTGTTTAGCAGACGGGTTTTCAGGGTGCTTGAAACCCCGTTAAGTGTGCAAAATGCGCATACCTGGGAAGACTTGGACGGGCGAAACGTAACTTTACAAGACCTTTGTTGCTTTTTGAATAATAGCTATAGTGCACCTTGATCTCACGTACCACGGGCAGAAATTGCTTGTCTTTCTTTTTTAACATTGTACGCCACACACTAATGAATATGAGTTGGTCATTGCCACACCTCACTGTAATTCGTTAGGTGATTCTACCTCTCTCGAACGTCTGGGCTCCCTTTTCTTTGTGTGAAAAGTCATCACCTCTTGTTATGAAATGTACAATTGCGCGTAGGGAAATTGCGTGAAAAAATTGGAGGTAGATCCCACATACTGTGGGAATCAATGATATGCGTATCACGAATGAGGCAGGTTGATATATCACTTTAAGATGAGCCCAACGTAACGGCCAAACGTAAATTATGCCATACATGACTTCCATGTCATAATCATGATAATCATGCTTGCGCCTGGCGTTTGTGTTCGTCATCCACTCCCGTTACGTAATACCAAATTTGGTATATGTGACTCCAGCGAAAGGGCCGCGTGCGCGCTATGGCGTAGCATGTAGTGATGTTTTACATGACATGCATGCCATGATTATCATGTTTGGCCATGTCATTTACCTTCATCGTATATTCGATCTAGTTATACGAAATTTGGTATATGTGAAGCTAGCGAAACAGCCACGAGCGCGCAGTGAGCATAGCATGTGGTGATGTCTTACATGACATGCATGTCATGATTATCATTGTTTGGACGTATCATTTAACTTCATCTTCTACTCAGTCTAGTAATACCAAATTTGGTATATGTGAAACTAGCGAAACGGCCACAAGCGTGCTATGAGCATAGCATGTAGTCATGTTTTACATGTCACCCATGTCGTCATCATCTTGTTTGGACCTCGACCATTCACGCCACATAATACCAAATTTGGTATAGGTGAAGCTAGAGAAACGGCCGTGAGATAATCATGAGCGTGGCATGTTGTCACGTTTTTACATGACACGTATGTCATGATTTCCATATTAGGGCCTGTCACTTATGTTCACCACGCAGTTATGTCCTACAATACCAGTTTTAGAATATATCATGCGAACAAAACTACCGCAAGAGCACCAAGACCATGACATGTAAAGGACGACATTCATGACATACCTGCTCTGATTTTGATGCTGACTTGTTACTTATGCTCTTCATACGGTCATATTATGCCAAACCAATTTTGGTATATATCCAATTATGGAAATGGCCAGAAGGGCTAGAAGCCGTAGGCAGATAGATAGATAGATGGATAGTTAGACAGACAGACAGACAGACAGACAGACAGACAGACAGACAGACAGACAGACAGACAGATAGATAGATAGATAGATAGATAGATAGATAGATAGATAGATAGATAGATAGATAGATAGATAGATAGATAGATAGATAGATAGAAGAGATAGATAGATAGATAGATAGATAGATAGATAGATAGATAGATAGATAGATAGATAGATAGATAGATAGATAGATAGATAGATAGATAGATAGATAGATAGATAGATAGATAGATAGATAGATAGATAGATACGGTATAAATCACCGAAGTTCACTAAGAAATGTTTCGCATTTAAAACGCCCCTTCTTGTTTAGGAAACGAACCTTGATTGTATGAGGACTGAGCGTCAGAATATGTACGTTTTCGTATTGACTGTGCAAAACACGGAAGCACGCTGTGTGTACAAGCTCACTTCGACAGAAACCGTTAACTGAGGTCTTCAAGTGCTGATGTATGAACAGGAAGTTGATGTATGAAGTGATAGCAAAGTTCAGCACGGCTTATCTTTCGCTCGTAAATGGGAAGAATGGCGTTCAGGGCGCTGAAGCTCGCTTTTGTGTAGTTTTAGCACGATCTCTGATTAAGGAGTATAGAAAAAAAGATCAGTGCCTGTGTTTTACTAGAAAGGAGAGAGCACTCGCACGCATTATGAAAGTTATCTTGAAAGCATCGACCTGCTTAACAACACAGAGGCCGAGCGGCTCGTTTCAGAAAATTCCAAACCAAGATGCGCGTTTTTTTTTTTGCCCTCCTTAGATGTTACATGCAACAACGATTGACCCTGCGCACCCTATCTTTCGATAGCAATTATATGGACACTCTCCGCTAGATTTCGCTACCAGCGTCAACGTCACTAACTGTGTATGCACATGTATCTATATATATATGTGAACGCAAGAAAGAAAAATAATCGAGAAACTACCCCCATGAGTGGAATCGAACGTGGGACGTCATAGCCGCGAACACGAAGCGTTAACTACTGAGCCACCGAGGAGCACCTCCTCTAACGTTCAAACAGCAAGCTATTTATATCTACCACTTACCGCTCTTGACGGGCATCGTGGGGAGGAACTATCGTGTTTTCAGCATTATCGCCAAGATAACACAAAGAGCGCGCGCTCTCATTGCCCAAGCGTACTTTAGCCGGCGGAGAAGCGGAGAGTGAACGCTCTCTCGCGCGCCCTTATCTCGCGGTGCAGAAGATCGTACCAAAGGACTCTGATCGTACATATTGGCTGGCGTTGGGCTTTCCCTGGCACGATTATGTTGTAGTTACCGGGCGCACAAAGGTCACTGCGACCGTTGCACAGTTTATGTTTGTGAAAATGGAGTGCTTTTCAGACGCAGTGAAGTAATAATTGAGACACTTATTCGCGTTCATGTGTGCCTGTGATTAGGTGTCATGCGTCATTTGTGCGTGAGAAACGCGGGGCACGTTTCGATCTGCTTGCAAATCTCCGCGCGATCTTGCAATTTGCTGCTATTACTTTCATTGCTTCGCCTTTGCGGCAAAGCTGTGTTTTTAATGAGCCTTCTATTCTTTGTGATCAAGTGTACTCCTAGTGGGCTCTTATCTTTGTGGGTGATTACGAAATTGGCGGAAAAGATGTGTTAAAGCTGTAGCCTGGCACTGCTTGGTTTAGCAGTTTCCTCAGACGGGAGCAATCGCAGTTCAAAGAACAGCAGAAAGAGTGATCGAAGCTTTCACCAAACCACCCTCTCCTCGAAAGAGTACTGGAACGTGGCCCTGTTGTTCTTTGTC